TCACAAATGAAGAAACAGAGAGATCTCAAGGCCCATTTTTTTTGGCCGGAAGTTACTATTTTATACGCTGTCCTGAAACTACTATTCTCATACGCCGTGCGTAGCTATGCCATGTTCTTTAGTCCTATCGAAGTTTTTACTAACGACATATATAGAACATAATGAATAGAACAGGAATGTTTCAGTCCATCAGTTCGTATTCATTCCTATCCAGCATCACAACTGGACCTCGTTAGTGTGACGGCGGTGGTGATGATTAACTAAGAATGCTTAAAACATATAGTGTTTAAAAAATAAAAGTACACGAAGATAAAATTCTTAAGAAAGTGTTACGGTAAAAAAGCTGCATGCGTCAAATTAGTGCTTACTACCTGTACTTGTGTAGTCTCCTCGGAAGTCTTCAGAGCGATCATTTAATTTTTTGCGAGTAAACTCACTGACAGATCGGCTGGCAGCAAGATTAACGACATGTCCTGCCCATGGGACGTTACTCTCTTGTGCGGTTGCAGTGACAAGAGCCTGGTCACAGAGATACTTCAGATATTTTGTGTTTTGCACACAGCTGCATGACTTCCCATTCGCTTTATCGGCCGTCTGCCAGGCTGACAGTGGCCTGTACCTTTGGCAGAGCAGTTGCCTCATTCTTGGCATGCTTAGAAGCTGCTAGCAGCTGCAGCGACTTAACACTGGCTAATCTGGTGCAACTGCTGCAAGATGATGAGTGAGTCGGCCATGGGTTCGCCTCCGATTGCGACTGCATTAAGAGCTAGCAAAACAATTAAAATTCGGCTCGGCTCAACTCGGTCGGCAGGGGGGATTGCAGCGACTGTTGTGAATCTCCTCTTCCTTCAAATGGCTAGCCAGAGGCAGAAATGGGCGGGTGAGAGAGGGGAGGGGGTTGGGGAGAGCGCTTGGATTTCGAGGGGTTGTAAGAGAGTGGAGGACATGGGGCTACTCTGATTGGGAAGGAGCTGAGATTTTGTTTAGAAATAGGAAACAGAGGTGGGAAATACGGAGGAAAGGAGGAGGGGATTATGTGGGTTCTTGATGCTCTGCATGAAAATGCTAAATTAGAGCTGGTAAGCTTATGTACAACTAAAATTTCGCCTGGAAAAAAACCAGGTGCAAGATATGGGTTTCGCAGTTTTTACGCA